GACCCACGTTGAGGATCGACTTTAGTCTATCTGCATCCGGTATTCTGTCTAAACTTTCGAGAATCGTCCTGGCAGCTGTTGCAAGAAGGCCGCACTGAACGGCACTGTAGCTAACGTCCAGAAGGAAAAGATAAACCAATGGCTGTGGAGGGCGAACCATGTACTCCTGAGGGGCAATGAATTCCACGACACTGTGGTTGAGCTCGGGCCGCCGCCATCGGTCTAAATTCTTTTGTGCTGCTTGGTCCCAGTCGAAAGCCTGCGGAACGTCATTGGTAAGGTTGCACATATTGCAGCGCCAGCGATGACCATTGTCTAAAAATGTTACGTATGGATTAATGTATGATCTACAACGCCGACAGCGGGAGATAACTGTATCGGATACAAGAGGAACTGGATCATCCTTATCGTGGAGAGAGGTGTAAGGTTGGATGATGAGGGCGAATGGAAGCTTGGATTTTTTCAGGAGGCCGTGAGTGGTTGGAATAGCATTTATAGTGGAACGCATATACTGAGGTGGGCAATTTGCAGTAGGGGAAGGTGTGAGGGAAGCCTGCGAAAAGTATCAGTATTGGATTTTTTAGACTTGTAGGTGGATCATACATTAGGTGGCAAAATTATTTCTGGTGGTGGAATCTCAAGCTCGGCCACATTAAATGGCTGCTGCATCAAATCTATAGGGAAAAGCGTATTGAGCGATTGGACCTTCTGAATACCACCGGCGGGAGTCAAGCCCATCTGTCCAAAACTCTGGGTGACACCACCCATTCCAGGTGCCCCCACAGGTTCGTATCCTCCTGCTGCGATATTTCCTGCACCGGCACCAGACATTCCCTGCGGCACACCATAGCCCCCTTGAGCTCCCATCACAGGAGGTGCACCCCCCATGGGCGAAACAAATTGACTCTGTTGTTGCTCCTGCGTGTTCGGATAGCCACCCATCGACTGGCCTGCATAAAGTGGATTTTGGGCAGGTGTGAGGCCCGCATTTGCCCCAGCGCCGAAATCATATTGCTCCTCTGCATATCCACGTCTCTTGCCTCGCCCCCCATGGGGACCCGGTGCAGAACCGGCAGGCGGAGGAGGACCGGAAGCTTGTGGAGTTGGAGCGGGCTGACCATAAGCTTGTTGACCATAGGGTGGGTCTTGGCTATAGCCTCCCGCAGCAGGGGGAGCTTGTTGTTGACCATAGGGATCTGGTTGGGCGTAACCTTGTGGGTAAGCATGTTGGTTTGGGTCGCTATAGGGGGGTGGAGGTGGTGGAGATGCCATAGCTGCTTTGTTGCTAAACAGTAGGCCAATGAATAAATGAGATTGTAGTGAAGGAGGAAAAAGAAGGCGGCGGCGGGGGAAAGGATGAAAGGGGTACCGATAGAAAGGAGGAAAAACTGTTGGGTTTAGAGATAGGAAAGTTCAGGACACCTGGAACCGACTGCAGTGACGATGTTTCTCTCGGTACGATACGTCGAGTTAAGGGTGATGTGTGAAGATGGAAGATCTGTGGCTAACTGTTGCCCCGCCGAGACTGCTACGGTGTGAGGCCAAGTCACTGCGCCACCTTTAAAATAGTGGAAGTGATAGTTGGTCTCAACTGAATGAAACAGCTTACTATTGGTGTGTGGTGCTCGAGGGTAAGCATGAGCTCAGTACAAGCACTGTATTGTAGCGTACTCGAGCGGGGTCCTGGTGGTTTTGGGCGGTTTTGTTCTTGAGGGCAAGGTTACGGATGCGGAAAATGGGATACAGGCTTTGTTTTGTCGAGAGCTTTCAAAAATAAAAACACAAAACAGATGCACCCTCCAGCACCTCGTTGAGCACAAGATTCAACCATAGTATTATGTGCAGTACCCCACTACCAATAATGCACCCGGGGAACGGACCCTTTAGTAGACCGCTATTCAATCTGGTAGTGACGACCACCCAATTTACGATAGCCCATATTTACCACTGCCACGCATCGCGGATCCGGAAGCTAGCTCACTTGATTATCCCAATTACTACATGGGGTAAACCACTTTACTGAGTCCCTTATTGCATGGGATATTGTATTATATTATGAAAAGAAATTATCTCCTTCCGGCCAACCATTTGTCAGCTGCGAGGAACACCTTGACCTCGTTAGCTAGCTGGCTCTCCCTCTGGAGGGATTTGACTGCGGCGATAATCTAATTTAAGTTAGCGTCACACGCCTACCTTGGCAATCAGGGGATGGAGTATTTACCGCGTCCCAGGTTCTAAAGGCTAGGTCAACATCTGCTTCAATATCGACTGCCTGGGCGAACATCAAGGGGAGTTTTTCCTTCTGAGTACGTCTCGTCGCCTCAGGGATAGGGCCAGTCTCGTTCGAGAGCTCGTCGAGGTAAGTTTTGGCCGCAATTCCCAATCCAGCGCTTACTTCGTCGATAAATGGGATGCTGGTAGAAGTAAACAATTAGTCTATGGGTTACAGGCAACATATGGCCAAGGAGGAACTCGAAAACCCACCCAAGACCTAACTCTGCCCAATCGGTTCGTTCGCCCCTGTCTGCATCACCATTCATTAATAGATTGACAAGTGCCATCTCAGCAAAGCTCCGCATGGTCCTCGTGAGCTTTGTAATGAAGGAATTGAAGCCAAGAAGGTTTCTGCTGAGAGGGCCAGTGTAACCAATGGGCTTGTGGTTAATAGGCACAAGACTGGCAACGCGAGAGATAAGCATGATATATGCCCTCTCTTCTTCTATTCGGTTTGCTCTTGGAGGTTAGCTTTTGTAGGGTGGCAAGGGATGATCCAAAAGGACATGCATGGATGTTAGGAAAATCACCTGTACCTCTGCTTGGTGCACCTGATAGAGAAGGGGAAAAATTATCAGGTTTGAGAACCCCTAAGTGCAGAAGCTCAATTCCGAGATATACCGGCTCATCCAAGTTGTCGCTCGGGTCAAGTGTTGATATGGCAGCCTCAAGAGCACGTCCCCACGAAGTAAGAGAGTGGTTCTCACTGTCAATAAAACCCCGAAGTTGAAGCACGCGCCAATAGGTGTTCATGAGGATTTCGTCCTTTGTGTTCAAAAGCTAAAATGGCCGTTAGTCCCTTGAGGAGTTCTTAGTGAATTGCGTCACCGACCTTTACTTCATCTTTTGGTGCAATCGTCTTTGCGGCAAAGGAGTCTGATTTTAAAGAAGATATCGCAAATGCAAGGCCTATAGAACTCTACACTTATCGATTAGCTTTGAACGTCCCATAGAATTAACATTCAAGCGTGTAAAGGGGTAGCCATACCCCATCTCTCTCCAATTCTGGCTTGAAAACGGACTCCCTGACATTCCATTTCTTTGTTTGCTCTGCGGGCGAGACAGACACCTCTTTATGGATCAATTTTCTTGGGCTGTTCTTATCAAACCAATAGTAAACATTGATCTCCTTGCTAAACCAAAACCTATGCAATGGCTGCGCCAGTAAACCCAAGGCTTGTGTACGTAGAGGGTTTAGATTTTCTAAGAATTTTTTATATTCGTCGGAATCGCCATTATCGAACGGTGCAACCTCAATGAGCTCCCCTGTCGCTAGCATATCTAGAACTTGGGGTCCAATAACCCCTTTTGATAAATAATAGTAGAGTTCTTCAGGAAGTCTTTGCCCAATGAATTCGTGTACGTCTGAAGGCGCCTCGGAAAAATCTAATGGCTCTGCCTTGCCATCAGAGGTGAATATAGCGTGGTGCTTTACGGCAGCTCTGGCTTTTCGGTATCTATCCAAATACCCTGACTGCTGAATCGGCTCCGGGTGAGTGCTGACAACAGTGGCGACATTCCGACAGCGTTTAAGCAATTCTACTGAGCTCATGAAAGCGTTGTGGGGAGAACCTTCAAAGGGCGGAAATGCACGACATATTTCGGACCCCGCAAGCATACAAGAATCGATGAACATGTCGTTTGTCAACTGGAGATCCGAGATGAGCTTCTGCTTGTTAATCCAGGTGAAGGAACCGCCCTGCCCTGGATTGAGATGTACAATGACTTTCTCAACATCAAAGAAGAAAAGTTCGGAGTTCCCACAGATGGAATCAACAAATCCGTTTTTTTCGAGGTAAACTAACTAGGTAGGACATCAGAAGACATGGAGGGTTGAATTTGAATGAGACCCTGATATCGTACCTGAGGCCATGCTGAGTAAGGAGCAACCTGAAAGTCTACTGCGCACTCGTGTAGAATCTTTATGAAATATTTGTAAACCTCGTGTGGCTGCAGAGTCCCTAGAAATTCATAAATATTTTGTGAAAAAAGAATATCAATGAACATCGCGGGTTCTCCTACCAGCTGCACCAAAGGCCTCCACAGCTTCACTTGCCAGACCCTGATCGTAGAGATCCCATGCTTGCGATCTCTTCGCCGGTCCGTCATCATTAACACTAAATGGTTTCTCATTGCGCACAATCTTTAAGCCTGAAAAAACGAAAATGGGCTTAATCCCAGCTTTCTGGAAATCTTCTATGTCCCCTTCTACCGCATATCTCAGACCAAAAGGGAACCCTCCTAGCGCCGTAACTAGGGGCTCCTTTGATGGAGAGGTGGTAAGTAATCGGAGGAGGTAATGGTCTGCTTCAATTCCGATAGTAGTATCCTTGAGAACAGATAGTGGGAGTGTCTGCGACTTGTTATGGGACGTGGCCCAAGTATCAAGGCTGCGAACTGCAAGATGAGGATTAGTGCATACGCCTTCAAGGGAACAGAATATAGACCCATACTAGGCATTTCTAAATGGTGCGGCGGAGACAGGCAAGCAACAAAATGCAGGAGCTGAAGAGTACAGGGGCAGTTCTAGAGGTGGGATGAGGAAACGTATGATATCTCCAAAGAAGCGGTTATCGCACGAGCCTCGTAGGTGAAGGGGAAGTGGAAAAGATCCTTGAGATGAACAAGCCACCTGCTTTCCCCAGCCAGTGGGATGAGTGTTGGGGTTAAGGATGGAGAGGTCAATTGGAGATGACGTTCGGGGGATAAAGCCCGGCGCAACCTTCACGGCTTAGAGGTCAAATCCACCGTTCGCCAAGACCGCCGCATGATGTTTTAGATCCTTGGGTGACCAGCCCCCCACACACCAACTTCTCAACCTTAACCGCAGTCCAAGCAAAGCCTATGGTATGAAGGCCCCAGGTTATGTACAATCTGGGCTACGATACCAGGTAAATTGAGATATGGTGCTGGTACGATATGTGCAGCGGATAGATACCTTATTCCACGAGACTACCGTGATTGAACTTCACGCTGCCGCAACAGTTTCTATATCATAGTTGGGAGATAGCAACAGCAGGTCCTTGACTCTGTACGTCTAACACTTGTACATATCATGCTGTAGTGTGATAACCTAGGTGCAGTAAAGATCATCTACTCGCATAATGTGCGCTATATGGTACTATACTTGTACACCTTCGTTAGTATCATTTTTAAATTACCGATATAGTAATGCAGCAGTTCAAAGTGCCAAGATGCATTGGCACCGGTAACTCAGCCGACCCAAATCTCGTCCCATAGATAACAAGTTCACCTCCACCTCCACCTCCCCCCGCTTATTTTAAAAACCCAGAGCTGCGGCCCCCCACCATGTCATCGTCTGTCTCTTTGATCCCATTAGCAGATACTAGAGAATGTGCAGAAAACCTTCTTAAAGCAGCGGAGACACTCGGCTTTGTCTACATTACCCTCGAGGGCAGTGACATCCCACCAGAGAAGGTGGAGCGGATGTTTGAAATTGTTTGTCCCCTTACACCCCTCCCCTGTTGGTTCCGTTTCCTGAAGCTCGACTGATGTCTCTTCGTCTCCTAGTCCAAGAAGTTTTTCGCCTCACCTAAAGAAGAGAAAGCTAAATGTCACATCTCACCCGACAACAGGGGCTGGAGCTCTATGCACACTGAGATTTTAGACCCTGAGCACCAACGCCGAGGAGATTTCAAAGAGTTAGCATACCGAGTCCCGATACTCTCTTCTAATTTGTGCGAATAACTCATGGGGCAAACAGAGCATTTAACTTTGGAGAGTTCAAAGACGGGAAAGCCCAGCAACCGTTACCGCCTGCGCTCCAGGACCACGAGCCGAAGTTGAACGAGTTTTCAGATTATTGTCACAATTTGTGTCTCAAGCTATTAAGGTTGTTTGGTATGGCGTTGAAGGCAGGTCATATACAGACCCCACTCCGAACAGCAAGCTAACCCTGAATTCCAAAGATTGACGAGGCAGAAGGAGGCAAAGAGTGGTTCACATCCCGTCACTCGCGTTCAGAAGGGCCCTCCGGGTCTATCCTTCGACTGCTATTCTATCCGAGCTTAAGCGCCCATCCAGATTTTGACCCTAAATTTGATACTCGGGCTGGTGCGCATAGCGATTACGGCAGGTGTGTTCAGGCCCTGCCTCAACCACCTCCGCGTGCTGGTACTAACGCTTAACCCGAGCATCACGTTATTATTCCAACGTCCCTCCGAGCCGGGGCTCGAAATCCTGCATCCATACTTGAAAACCTGGCATCCAGTACCAGTCATACCTAACGCAATCTTGGTCAACATTGGGGATCTCTTATCCTATTGGACCGCGGGTCTCCTTCGGTCCACGGTACATAGAGTCGTGACACCTGACTCTGGATCTGACGGGCCCAAAGACCGTTATAGCATGGCTTTCTTCTGCCACCCAGCATACCCCACCTTATTGACGCCGGTTCCAAGCGAAATAATCAGGTCTAGGGGTGAAAGGGGCGCGAATGACGCTGAGAAGACCTTAACCTCTCTAGATCATCTCAAAGGTCGTTTGTCATCTGCTTACGGATGGAAGTCAGAACCAGCTTAATTTGAGTTACACAAGTAAATGTTACCTTCAGATCTCCCTAAATTGATGCGCTCTTTTTAGTACCGTATAGATCCGGTAATACCCATTTGTATAGTTTGGACCCTTAAACCCCTCATAACTTCTATTTCACTATCACCAACGCCTCTCGTGTACCCTGATATGATTCCCAAGCCAGAAATCCCATCATATCCACAAGATAAAACACTCGACCTCTCTAGACATTCAGCCCAGGTAAACGCCATCAAGGGGAATCGACAAATATACAAATGGCTCTACTCTAAGGAGTCTAAGACTGAGGAATATAAAAAGAGAAAAGAAGAGAAAAAGCTCATGATCACAGAATTCGGTCCGGAGAACAGGCTCCCTGGTGACTTGCCGATAGCTAGTCGAGAAAAAGCCTTTGCTCGACCTTCCTCACAAGCCTGTTGGTTTGTTCAGCAAGGGTCAGTGTTAGGATCTACGAGGAATGTTAGCCTTTTAAAACAGCGCACGTGTGGGTAGATAGGTGGGTAGTTAGATAAGTATATATATATGTGTGCGAGAATGGAGCTCACCGTATGCGGCAATATCCTTGCCAAGTGAGCAAAGTAGCCTTTATAGATTGCCAAAAGACCCTCCGTTCGAACAGTCTTCATCAAACAATCAAAGGCATTAGTGTACAGGTTCCCGCTCTGGTTGTACATTCTCGACATCACGGTATCTTGCAGTGGGCATCAGTACTGGCCGACACATCATTCGTCACAAATATCAGATCAAAGAGAAAAAAAGCCTACCAGGAGGGTGCATAACACAACAAACCACAAACCCGCTAACCGCGCTACTAGCAAGATGCAAACCCACCCCTTCCCGTAGACCCAAGTACTTCTGCAGCCTCCTCTTCGCAAAAAAGTAGGTGGGCAATTGCACACTGCTACCAAAGCCAGTCCTGACCATAGCAGAACCCACACCCCTATACAATCCCTTGAACCCCTCCGTCCGGCTAATGGTCCTGAAGCCGTCCAAGGCGTTGCGGTAATTGTGCTGCGTGCCCACGGGTAGAGAAGGGGAGTACGATTGTAGCCGCGTCTTCACGAGAAAGAACGGGGACCCGACCATCGCTCCCAGAATGCCGGAAGTAGCACCGGCAAAGACGTTCACCCCGATGGACTGGTGGTGCGGGTCGCTATGGACTAGGCGTGTGGCCGAGCTACGGATTGGCTCGTAGAAGCCGAGACGGCAGCCATTTAGCATGGTTTGGTAGCAGTACTTTTGGGCATTGATTCGTTAGTTTTTGGGTTTTTCTATCTCCCCGGTCTGGGGGCGGATGGATGGCTATCGGAAAAGAAATGCGGAATGAAGTATTTACAGCAGCGCCCAAACCAGCCATTAAGCCACGCGGCCCTTCGTTTACCAAGATCACTCGAACACCCTGGAATACACCTGTGTAGACTCGTTTCGTTTGCGACTTTGCTGAAAGCTCGCCTTGGAGTTGAAGTCTGCCCACCCGCATAGCAATTTTTGTAAGCGCAGCTCACTTTTTGTTTTGCTCCCGCAACCCCCTCACTCTCCCGGGGGACATTCTCATGTCCGAAGCCGGTGTATGTGTGTAGGTACATGTGTAGCGTGCGGTTATGATACGCACCTTGTTTTCACCGTTTCGAAGCCGTGAGTGACTGTTACTGCTCCGCAGGCTGCGATTCCACCGGCGATGAAGCCGCCTAATGTCGTAGACATTGCGCTTTCTGGGTCAAGTTTCTAGTGGCGGCAGTGGTGGGACGAGGAGGGCAAAGGGTAAAGGAGGTGTGGTAAAGGTGGTGTACAGTAGGTAGAATAGGGCTTACCGGTACTGGTAGTAGGGCAGGGAGGTTTTGTGAAATGTCATGTCCTGTTACGTGGTGGGGGGATAGGTGGTGGTAGTGGTTGGTAAAGATTCGTGAATAAAATGGTCCTCGAGAATTGTTTGAATTTTTTTTTTTCCTTTCTCGGACTTAGTGCCACCGTATAATACCCTGTCAAACCAAGGTCCCAAGGGTGGTGGTAGGGCTGACATGAGGAGGGTTTCTACTGTGTTACCGGTATGATACCATAATAATAATATTATGATAATAATTATTATGTATGATAATATTATGATGCTTATGATTTCTCGAGCGCGAGGTTGAAGATGAAGGGGGAGGGCAGAAATTGAACTTACTGATGGTGGTGTTATTCCTGCGCTGCTCTTATACTCGTATACTGCCCTCACCCTGGGGTTCTGAAGGCACTCGGGACCATTCACTCTGCAAATAGGTAATTTAGTACTCGAGTACGGTATCAAGCATTGCACCCTTCCAAAAGCACTGGTACCGGCACCACCTGCGAAAAAGCTCGACAGGGGATCAATACCGCACTCGTAGTTTTAGTGGGGTTTCATTGTAGCCTACCTGTAGAGTACGAGTACTGGTACGAGTATCACTCCAGGTGTCTTTTCATCTCTGCAGGGGAGGTGGGGAAGATTATTGATTCCCATTCTGGAGATGGGAAAGGGGGAAAGGGAAAAGGGGAAGGAAGGAAGCAAAAAGAAGAAGCCTTCAACGGGAGTTCCGGCTGTCTGATATGAGTGTCATATCATACTGTATGATACTCGTACAAAGATATCGGTACCCTGCATGTTGTGTGTGGCCCCGAGCTCTAGATCACATCGACACACATCGTCACGCGCGGGCGCACACCTAAAATCTGATGCAGATGAGAGCTACTCGTAGTCTACCGCCTACTGTACGAGTACTCAACTGGTGCTGTAGATCTCTGGTATGCACGGTATCCGAGTACATACGGTCCCGACACACGGCTTGATCTCTACCGTTGAACAAACTAAATTAACAAACCGACAAACACGCTCTGCACCCGATACCCCCCACAAACAACCTTTACCCTCCCCTTCCTTACGGGATTTATATACACCAACCCTTCTCAGAACAAAGAAAAAAGGAAAAAGAAATCAACACCCGCACTGAACAGCCCTCGAGCAAGCACTTTCCTCCAACTTCATCTCGGGTCAAACCCCACCTAACAACACCCTAACGCTATAACGCTATCAAAATGGCAGCGGCAAACCCTCTCCACCGCCAACCAGAATTGGCGAAGCTCAGCGAGACGATAACCCGCTACCGCCCTTCGAAGGCCTTCTCGAATTTCGCCCAGGGAGCAGAGGTAACCTCCTTGGATTTTGACGACACTGGCGAGTTCTGTATAGCGACGGGAGACGATGAGACTCTACAGTTGTACGACTGTAAACTCGGGAAGCATAGTAAGACATTGTACTCGAAGAAATACGGGTGCCATCTTGCGCGGTTCACGCACTTGCAGAGCAATGTGATTTACGCTTCCACAAAGGAAAATGGTGTGATACTTTACCCCAGGGTATGTAAGATAATGCCCGTGACAACAACTAACCCTCTTGGTTCCTGCAGACACAATCCGCTACCTCTCCCTCCATGACAACAGCTACATCCGGTACTTCAAAGGACACAAGCGGCCCGTAACCTCCCTGGAGGTCTCCCCGGTCGACGACCAATTCATATCCTGCAGCAACGATGACACCGTCCGAGTCTGGGACCTGCGCTCACACAATTGCGCGGGCCTGCTAAACATAACTGCCCCCTCCCTCGCCGCCTTCGACCCGTCGGGCATCATCTTCGCCGTAGCTGCACAATCCGCCGGCGCAATCCTCCTATACGATCTCCGCAACTACGACAAGCAGCCCTTCACCACATTCTCCCTCACCGATGACAGCTTCCTGTCGCAGTATTCCTACCCACCGTGCATGCCCGCGTGGAGCAAGCTCGAGTTCAGCAACGACGGGAAACATATGCTCATCGGAACTCGCGGGCACGCTCACTACGTTGTCGATTCATTCGCTGCGGACACGGCGCAGTTCGTATACAGGGCGAAGCGACCCAATGGGCCGACGGGTCCAAAGAAGCTCGAGACATCGGGGGATGTATGCTTCACCCCGGACGCCAGGTTCCTCATTGGTGGCCAGGGCGAACGCGGGGTCGTCGTTTGGGATTCGTGGGTGACCCCGGACGAGAAGAAGACTTTAAAACCGTTCATTGAGCTCGCGGAGAACACAAAGAGCATGGCGTCGGTTGTCTCGTTCAACCCAAAAATGAACCTCTTCGCAACGGCGCATAAGGACGTGGTATGTTGTTTATTTTCTCTGATTCCCATCTTTCCATTCTCCCTCTCCCTCTCTCGGGCGATTGAATTGAGTGAATGCATTGTGTTACACTAAATCCACAAAAACCGGGCCCCGAGCTGACACATACCCTCTCTTTCAGACATTTTGGCTGCCGGAACAACACGCCCCTGATGCACCATCTCCAAGTGCGGCGCCGACTTCCACTCGATAGATTAACTTACTCTTGCTTTCCTCTTCGTTTCCTTTCGCTTTTGTTTCCTCGCAAGTCAACAACAGCTAATGTACTTTCTACGTCCTCTACTCGACTCTTGGGGCATTGAGCATGAATCGGCGAGGTTTGGATTTGGCAAAATCAGGTTCAGCTTCCATGAGGTGGTCTCTCCTCCTCTTTCATCTCATCATCTTTCTTTCTTTTCACGGGATTGGGTTGGGTTGGGTGGGTACTGTATTGTAGTAGGAGGTTGTTATTTTATTCAATTCCATTACCATTCTTATCAGATATTTTATGAGTGGGAGGAAGGAGGGAATGAGGGAATAAATAGAGGAGGCAAGGGGAAGTAGGTGGTGGTGCACAGAGCGAGTCTATCTGCGCCACTGAACTGTGATCATGACGACAAAATTCGTCATCCTCCCACTGGAGTCTTAACGACCATCCCCATATCACAGTGTTTTGATTCCCCCACATGCAATGCGATACTAAATAATATTATATTTGCTCCCTTCTCCACACCCTATATTCTCGGGGTTTCTCCGGTACTATCTACAGTCGCACCTCGCTATCCCGGACGGCCAAAATCTGAAGAATCCGTCCGGCACAGCGAGGGATCCGGGACAACGGGTCAGGCTTTGGTGGAAAGAAATTCAGAGTTCACAAAGATTCGTACGGGACAGCGAGGTATCCGTATTATCGAGATCCGGGACAGCGGGGTGTGACTGTACTGTTGAATATCGATCAGACAGCTTCGGATTATCCCGTTCTTGTACTACTTAGTACATCTCTGTAAAGGTTCAGCAAAAGCTGCTGTAAGCTTTAATGCAATCCTTCATTATTTCCAAAGTACCTACGAGTACTCGAGTACAATCAGATCGAGATAGGATAAGGCTAATGCATCCGACTGGGTTAGTAACCATCTCTCCAAGTTTGAGTCGAGCCACAACTATGAAAACCTATCTTATATAACATTATTCCGACTACCTTCTCAGCAAGGTCCCATTTAAAGCTAGGAAAGAAAATCAGCAGCTAATATGAGAAAAACAAATCTTTTAAAAGCAATCCGAGTCTTCCATCCAAGAAAATATCTGGAGACAACCCATTAATATGAAGCTTTAAGATTTCTCAATGTAAATAAGATAATATTAAAAAATCGCTTTGAAGGAAGGATAGAAACCTTTTAACCGAGTGTATAAAAGTCAACTAAAGTTCGATTCAGGTGAGGAGGGAAGTATTGTGTAATTGGTTCGAGTTGTAGAATTAAATACTTGTACCACCCGGACCAATTGGTACAGTACAGCCATGAATTGCCAACATACACTTTTAGGTAAACATAGTTGGGACAGTCCATACTGACACGAAACAAAATGGGACAAAATTTTTTTTTTTTTTCTTTTCAGTTTTGGTTAAGGAACTTATTTCCTTCCCTGCAGGTTTTTCCATTATAAAATTCTCAATTTGTGTTGTACTGTATTCGTACTGTATATTTTTGTTTACCCTGCAAAACTTCAAATCTTGTACTAGTACTATATCATATTCCTATCATACTTCAAATTCATTGGTGCATGCATACTCTAGACGTCCGGAACCAAATCGTATTAATTTTGAGATTTTTGCTCTCTTTCCTACATTTTATTATCTTTTTTAAGATTTCAAAGGAGTTTTTCGATTTTACCAACTTATCCTATCCATATTATTGTATCCTTATTTTTTCTCCCCTTGGCCTCATTTTACTTTACATTTATTGTTTTGTTCAGGTAGTTTGTACTGTACTCGTACTGTCGGCTCTAATTGTATCGTGACGGTCAAACAAACCTGAATGGTTAATAACCCTGTTGGACCACGTTATGTGTCGACAGTCTACCTTACAAGTATGATACTCGAGTATATTGCAACCAGCAGTGATACTCTTGATGCACACCAGTTCTTAACTATCTTTGTAGTTACCTCGACCTCCTATCCATTTAACGCTCACATAAAAAAAAGAAAGAAAGAAAGAAAGAAAGAGTCTACCGAACTCTTGTCTGACTGGTCGAAATTAAGTTCAACACGAATTATGCAACTGAACAGGCCAAATACGCTAATTAATTTTTGGTGGAGGAAAAATGTCCTCGAACTCTTGGCGCAGAAGGTGGAGCAACCACCATCCTCTGAGATGTCGAGAAAGCCCTAGAGCCAATCAGGGGAAGTTCGAGAAATTGCTTTTTATACAAACACGTCCCCATTTCGACAGACTTACCCACAACCCCCGATTGTGTCGGTATATATAAAGCCACCCATCCCTTCCAGCGCCTCAAGTTCGATTTGTGATACAACTATCGTACAGCAAGAATGGAGGTAAACGGTCCTTGGGACGGCTCGTGATATCCCGGGCCAATAACGTACTCGAGCACCAGTACTCGTATGGCACTTATATCGGACCAGGTACGGTAGGTACCGTATTGGTACCAATAGTTCCCAAGAACTCTTGGGTGAGGAAATACAACCAGTGACATTAGCCGGGAATAATTCCCCGCCATGAGTGCAAGTGCCAGGGTGATGTTTTCGAACAAGATAGGGAATAATTTGTGGGCCAACCCAAATTAACTATTCACTAACTCTATCGTGGGTATCATATTAAATTTTGTATAAATACCATTTTTCGATATAGGGGGGGAAGAGATACCACATAATACGATAAAGCACGAAGAGGAGGAGGGGAGGATGCAAGAAAGAGAGAAAAAAGTGTCCCCGCTGGTTTGATATTCCCCGCAACGCCCGAAGCATGGTAAGATAAGAAAAAGAGATGCTTTCGAGAGAGGGAAAAGGAAAAGCAAGAAAGAAAAGGCTAGAAAGGCAAACCGTTTTTTGACAAGGGAAGCAGAAAGGTAAGGATGAACGAAGAAAAAGTAAAAACAAAAGTGAAACACTGCCGTAGTCGGATGGATGGGTGGAGAAGCAAAAGCAAGGAGGAAAGCTTACAAGCAAAAGAAAAAGAAAAAGAAAAAAGCAAGAATGGCTGTTGATGCAGGTCGGTAACAAATAAATTACTATCGAATTGAAAACATTACACGAGCAAGAAAAAGGAAGTTAGAGAAACGAAGCAGCTGAATTGCGTGATTTCACAGTACAGAGTTGCACCTACATTGATCGTCCCGCTGAGTTAGTTGCAATTCAATGAGGTATTAGGGTGATCGAGAGAATCGGGATATTAAAACCTGTAGTGCAGATATAACTAATACGAGGAGAGGGAAAGAAAGGACAAGAACTATTGTGGATTGCATTGTAGAGTACTCACTTTACGCAAAGAAGTTTATGTTCCCCCTTTCTTGATTGTTTAGCCTTGAAGGATGTTCCTCCGCATCTGCAGAACCCGCGGATCAGTCAACGATCGCCGGGGTCCCGGGGGTGGGGGAGGGGCAGGTCCGGCAGGGTGGAGAAAAAAAGCTGGCGGAGATCTGGATGCTGGGCTGGTTTGAAAGATGGGCGAACTAGACAAACCTTTTACACCTGACCGTCTCATTTTCGCTCTCGTCCCCTTCCCCGTCAGTGCTAAAAACCTCATCCGCACTGTCGTCAGAGCCCGTCGTCATCCTGGATCCCTGTCTCAATCCTGCCGTCGCCCTTGTGGTGGCAGCACTGGCACCTGAGGTGGGCATATGTTTGGGATTGTAGTATGCCAGATTTGCGCTAGCTTCCTGCGTCATACGATCATCGCCAGTCACTGGCATTGTTGCGCTACTTCCTGGCCGATCCCCTCCCCCGAGAGCCGACCTTCCGGGGCTCCTCACATTGGCCGTACCACCATCCGAGTTTCTTTGATGCACGGTATCATTTGCAATTGAGGTTGTTCTTGAACGTACACTCCCTGACCGTGCGAACCGGCCCGTGACCCCATTCGAACCAATTGATAGGGCGCCCGTTGACTTTCGGGGAGAGATGCTTCGGTTCCTGCTCGAGCTGCCATCACCAAATCTCCCTCCCCCAATTGAGTCATCCAAGCTTCCACTGGATGCTATGCTCTGTCTCCATGAAAGGATTCTATCAGAGCCATGTGACAACGAGTTTCTCCTTCCCCCAAACACTCCATTTCCAATCTTCTTTGAAAACGTCGACGATGTTTCCCAAGACTCATTCTTGCGTTTCACATGAGCACAGTCCTGTCGAAAAACCTTGATACGTCCGGTATAGTCTGCAGTGACAATTATATTCCCGTCTGAGTGCGCTGATCTCGCTACGTAGGCGGGCGATTCCTCGGGGGCTTTCGGCGTGTGAGAAGTTGCGTGATCGCCTTCTGAACGCTTTCCTCCCCCAGCCGATGTCGCGGGTTCTTTCTTTGAAGAAACCGAATCGGATCTACTAACAAGGGTAACTGGTGGTGGGTTGCACAGGTCGTAGAGCGGATCTCCCGAGCTCCCCAGCAATTGTCTCGTTTTTGCAGGAGCCATAACTCCAACGGTCACGATTGCGGGGTGGGCTACATGATGTTTAACAGTTGTCCTATGATACCAGAATGGATGAACACCTTACCCTCAAAGTACTCGACCGGTCTCTTGTCCTTCTTTTCAGTCTCCCCTAATCCGACGTTCCAAATATAAACTCGTCTATCCTCACTTCCACTGATGACATATTTAGCATCGTCGCTAAAGGTAGCGTGAATCTGACTGCATGTATTCTCATAGCCCTTAAACTTTAACTCAAGGCTCTTGTCTCTAGCATTGTACATCCGGACCCGTGAATCATTACTAGTAATCAACAATTTAACTTCTCCATTCGGGTCATCAGGCGGAAACGTGATGGTCTCAATTCCGGTAATCTTGCTCCCTTTCGCATTCCTGCCGTGAGAAGATCTCACATGAACTTGAGTATTATATCTTAGCCCCTCAGTCTCGTAGAACAGACATAATCCACTCAAACAACCTGCAATGGCCATTCGTCCATCGGGAGTGAAGGCCACGGCTGTAATCAAATCAGGGAGTTCATTCCAGAAAGCAACACTTTTGTCAGGTATGCTCCATAGTCTCAACTTGGAATCCAAGGAACCAGCTAGAAAGAAGCGATCATCCCTAGGATGAAACACAATAGCTGTAACGAAGTCGCTGTGTTGGAATGCACAGAGGCACTCTTTCCTGGACACGTGCCAAAGCCTGACTGTCTTGTCCATAGATGAGGACAAAAGAAAGTTGTTCTGCCCGTTGTTAGCAGGTGCATGGTAGACCAATCATTTCCGCCTCGAACCACCTACTTTGCTCCAACTCAGGTCCAGGACGTCTGCAGTATGTCCGGCGTATTCATGAATTGGTTCTGATAGAAAAACAGGGGCATTCAACCGTACGCCGCCACCACTGGAGTATATCCCTCCAGGTCCAACCCCTGCTGCATCCTCCTCTTTCTCGTGAGTTTCTCTCTCTTCCTTGGAACCGATGACTTGCCAAACCCGTACTATTCTATCCTGTCCCCCCGCAGCAAGATATCGGCCGTCCTTGCTAAACTTCATAGCCCATATAGCTCCGCTCTTATGCTTCGGAAGTGCCAGTGACAACAACGAAACATCGGCCGTACTACCGGCGACTAACTTCCCATTCTCCTCGTATACCGGCCTCCGGTACAGCTCCTGTGCCAAAAATGTTTGGTCGAAATCACGTTTCGGTTTATTGTGCGAACGAACCTGCAGGAAGCCTGTTAGCCCCAGAACCTTCAAACCAGCTGCTAGAGCACGTGGATCCTTTACCCTGATATACTTCGGTGGCGCGGGGAACTGAGGTATATACCCAATTGGTTGGGAAAAGACGTGAGCATCCATTCCTTCAGTCCGTACGTCTCCCTCAAGCGTATCTTCATCGTTGGGCATATCACCGCCCTTCTTCTTCCCCCCCATTATGCGGCTGAGAAAAGAAACGCCTTTCCTACGTGGTGTCAGCCTTGGGTGTTCCCCAGATTCTAGGGGAGGGGTGAAGGGGAATACAGACTTCTTTTCTCTGCCTTGAGGCTGTGCATCCGTATTCCTCGCTGTTGCATCAGGAGCATTTCTTTCCCCGATCCCACCCACACTCTCGCCCGGATTCCGAGCCATCGAATCATCGTAGCTATCTTTACGCAACTTTTGCCGAAGTGTGTTTTCTGTTCCAGTGCGACGGAGTATCTGCATCGCCAACGGGTCAAAAGGAACCGTGTTATCTAAGCCGATCCCCGTATTCTTGATATTTGGTGATTGCAGCTTCTCGGGATCAGCGGTAGGTGCAGGGATCGTGGAAGGTCTCGAGAAGCTCGAAGGTATGGAGCCACTTGCCGAAAGTGCTAGAGACAGTTAAACAACCGACAGTCGTCAGCGTCTCGCAATTGAGGTTAGGAAAGGAAAAAGAACTCCTAGTGTTCGTTAGTGCAGCATACCATTAGGTCCATCCCCCCCAGTGGAAGATGTTGACCTCCCATTTCCAGAGACTAGATCGCTAGTAGGCGTTATGGGAGAGTGTGAGGGAGTGTTTTGGGCAGGATTCTCTGTTGCCCTAGATTTCGATATGTTTACCAGAGGGAGTATCGACGTGCTAGTCATCGCCTGTTATCGCGTGGAGGAAGGTTGCAACAGTACCGTATTATGTATCACCCCCAAGTAACCCTTAGTCTAGGAACTGCTGGGTATGATGTCTCACGAGAGAGGCTCCAAGCAAAACCTAAGAGGAAAAAACAAGAATAGAATATACTTGTACCGGTAGGTTTATGACCAAAGTACGGATGGAGAAAGGCAGATCCGAAGACTCAACCCTTTTTGATGTCGTCCAATACAGTACCAGTAACTTACGTTGAACTGTTCCTGGAACGAGGTATGACAATACAGCCAAGAGAACCCCGCTTACTCCAAAAGTGCCGGAGCAGCGAGAATAGTGCTAACCTGGAGTACTCGTAGTGTCGAAGCGTTTTTAAAAAGGACTGCTATTGCATACCACCAAGATCCAAGCAGAATGGCCAATTTTTGGGGGTATGCAATAGTAGTCTTTTCTAAAAACGCTTCGACATTACGAGTACTGGTAAAGTTACAAATAGCTGCGGGAGTCTACCGGTACTAGTACAGTACAAGTACTATCAGCGCCGTCTCTGGGAGGAACTTTTTTGCACCAACCTCTCTCTCTCTCTCCTAGTCTACCATTCCGCCGTTCACATCATCAGGTAGTTTGTTCTAACATTTTATCGCACTCCAGTTCGGACATCCGGGCCGTCCGAACCCGAGTTGATTTTCGGTGCAACGCCTTGGTTACATTCCATAATCCCCGCACAATAATATGATTTATTGAATGCTACAGATCAGATGCAGGGAAGCACCATGTTTCCATGGAATTATTGTGCCCCCAATGAAACAGCAGAGTACTGTATGGCAGGCTGGCTAGAGATACCGGTAGCATTATCGCTCCAGGAGCCATCTGGTCCAAAGGTGAGCAATGGGAGAAGAAAGAGAGAGGTCCCTGAAGGGCAATACCGGTACCGTATTTGAGGTCCATAGTTTGTGTGCTGCCATTATTGCGACCCCCTCATTGGTTAACCACTCCAGCCTGAATTGTGGTTCAAAGGCGATCATCGCCACCACCACCACCACCCTCATCATCGTCATCAACATCATCATCGTCATCATCATCATCATCACCAGCTTGTTGTTATTAGATAAAATAAATTCCTTCAATCGTCGGTACATTTCCCTGTCGTACCGGATGATAGAAAGTTCATTGATAGAGTTCACTTGTGGGAAAACGGTCTAGCATTGAACATATTGCAAAAGCTCTTGTCCCGGTGTCACATCGGGTGAAGTCCCATCACAGTACCGGCAGTCTTGTACTTGTACGAGTACTCGGGTATGGACGTGGGTCACCGGACAGCCAGGGTTTCTGGAGGCCTGACCATTCTACCCTCATGGGAAACAAAAGGATGGGTTTGGTATGGAGATTGCTCAAACAAGCAAAAGGCTTTGCCACCTATAACCCCTGGCTGTCCGGTCACCCACGTCCATAACCGAGCACTTCAAGTACTGTACTAGTACTGTACTCGTATTGGTGTGCATCAAGTCCAGAGGCTTCTTGATCAGACTCATGGCGCATGGCCTGAGCTGGGCTCCAAAAATGTTATGATACCAGTACTTGAACAAGCAATAAGCGAGCAGAGCCACAGAAGGAGCCAAGCGCACCAAACGCCATCCAACACCTAACCTTATCAGAACACGGACCAGTGGTTGGCCCTCATCATCCACCACGTTCATCTGATATTTCTGAATAACCTTCAATTTAACTAGGTTCTGGGAGGGAAATGCCTTCCTTCCCGTTTTAAGGTTACTGATGGTTGGCCGCTTCTAAGAATGTGCCGAAAATAATCGTATGGCACTTCCAAAGTTACCGGTATCGCAGGACATGTTCTGGGAAGTGTCCCTGATGACGGGTGTTCCTAGGATACCAGGTGCTCGAGTATCAGACTGTGATAGGGTGCCCGAAGAAACCCACAGTCGGGATCCGTATTCGGCAACCAGAATACCGGTACTCGAGTAGGGAGCAGCGCAGGAGGAGATCCATTGCTTTTCGAGAGAACCTGAAGGTCGAATCTAAGACAGGGGTGAATGTCAAATTTTGTCCCATGTTTGAGTACTCGAGTACAGTACCGAAGTACGGTATGTGGGCATCAACTTAATGATCCCTGTTTTTTTCTTTTTCCTTTCCACTACCGGTACTCGAGTATGGGGGGAAAACCGGTACACAAAGTCTTTCTGCCGCCCAAATATCGTACCGGCCCCGCTTTTGATTTTTATCAAATTTCAAAGTGCAATGTGAGCTCCTTTCACCAAAAATTCCAAGTGTCCCCCCGCTTCTTACTGGTGCATTGCTTGTGCGCTCTTATTGACCGAAGAGGCAGCCCAGACTCTGCACTTCTGGTACAGTATTTGTACTAGTACGTTATGGAAAAGCTCTCTCTCTATGGCAATCGCGATGAAGCGGAAAGTACATGCAGTAAGAGCGCAATTTGTGCCTATGCATCTATAAACTGACCTGTATCCCCTAATTCAAAATTCGACCCAAGCTCTAGGTGCGCGGAACAGAGATTGGTGAGCCATCTAGCCTGAGAAAACTTGGGGAAGGAGCGCCATCTTGGAGAGCACTTCAAGAAGGCATCTGCTGTGTGTAGTGAAACGCGATTTCACCGTACAGCAACTCGAGCACTTGAGTACGTGATTTATGCAGTCCATCGAGCAGAAGCATACCCAGCCGATGTTGCACGTTCCTGTCGACGTTTGGGATGGAGGGTACGAGAACCGTACGAGTACAGTACCGTACTGTCTACTGTGAAGGAGGAGAAAGTGATACAAGTAGGGTGTTGCTACCACTTGGGTACTCGAGTACCTACCTCCCCCCCCGCTTTCGCCCTCGATCGATTGAAGGTATCTTCCGTGAGTAATCACAATACCGTAGCTGCAGGGGGAGCATAACCGTATTGCAACTTTGTCCTGGAAGGCTTGCGCCACAGCAAGCAAGAATAGGTATGTGTCTACCAGAAGCGGTAATTCTACATTTCTTTTTATAGTAAATGGTGCTATAATCCCAGCCCTTACTCAGTACTCGTACAAGACAGCCTCTAGTTTCCTATCGTCATTTCCGCCTTATTCCCCAGATTATTCAAGCCATCAAGGATCATTGCAGAACGTATCATACCCAGCTCAAAGCTTCGACACTAAACAACAGATAAGCAATATCAAGTGATCACTCGTGTTCCTACAAGTCCCGAGGTCAGTTCTCTGGTGCAACCGAAGGATATCCCGGTCAGAAAGTGATACCGTTAGCGGTATAAGAACCTACTCGTCAAATTCCTAAAACGCCATACTACATCCGGAAACAGAGTTTTAAAAATCCTCGAATTTGGCGTGAAACACAGGTTCTTGGCATTTATTATGTCGGATATGATACTTCACAAATTGACGAGGAGTCCTGGTGTCGTGGATTGGGCAACCGTTACGATGGGTCAACCATCACTTTTTGGTTTGCCTCTTAGGCTTCAATCTGGGTTTTCCCGGTTTTCGAGCGCAGAGCTTGCCGGTACTACGGGTACGGTCCACCACCAACAGTTTGCTATGGTACGATGCGCCCAAGGCAAACCAAAAAGTGGCGGTTGCCCCATCCAAGGGTTTACCCCGTCATCCCGTCAATTGGGTAGCACCGTGGCATGGCTTGATCGCCCCAAACGCGCGACAAATTGTGGGTTAACAAGGACGGCGAGGCTGCCAAGCAGGAGTTTACACATCCTCCAATCCTCTTGCTCTGTTCAGGTCTTGGCTTTATAAGGGACCTTTTGTCTTGAAAGGGATGTCAGAACCCTGCCCCGAGACACTGTCAAATTTGGCGAGGCAACATCATACTCGTACAAGCATACAAGTACCCGAGTTGAAGCACCGTCAGCATTCTGATAATATTAATGTTATCATACTAATATTGTCTATTTGATGCCCAGGGCAAGAATTAAGTGGATTAATTGTCCGAGATGAGGGCATAAGGTACTCTAATCGGCCTAGCGCAGGTTTTGATCACGGTAGAATGTAACCCCTTTTGGAACTTCGGTTGGGAGAAAAGATGCAAAAGGTGAACTTTCCAGATATCCAACAGGACCATAAATGCATCAAGAGAGCTGGATGCGGGTAGGAAAAGCAGTCAGGTTAGTACCGAGCATTTGTTTAGTATTCAGACAAGCATCAACCGGCTATTTATTCACCTCAAATAGCTGCAGGAACGGGAAGGAGGTCGAAATTTATAAAGCGGTTCCGTTCGAGTGGTAATGGTAGCGGTGTCATCGTTCGCGGGAGGGGTCAGTTTGATAGGCAATCATCGCGGTTGGTCCCAAATCGTTGAGCAGTTAGTTGTACTGAACCATGCAATTTCATTTATTTTATGACAAGCTTCTCCTATATTTCCCACTGTTTTAGATAATGTACTTTCCTCAATAAAAGCGCTATAAAGTTTACTTTCTATTAAACTAAAACTTCTTACCGGAAATAAATTTCTCTGAGGTTAAGCAGCTAGAACCTCTTATACATACTTTCACAATAATAATAGTAGTCCTGTTAATACAAAGAGAGACATTAAAGAGTCATGAAACCTAGTTGTTAGAAAACATTCAAGTTGAAAGGAAAAAAAAAAAAAAAAAGAGAGACAAGCTTAACCATAAAACTAGTGAGTGGTTTGACTAATTACTAAGAACATATTTTAATTATATAAGTATAAAGATTTAGTAGATCTTTTACTTTTATCTAATAAAGTTAATATAAATATAATATTATTATAATATTATAAGGTATTTTAAGTTAAAACTTATACTGCTATATTTTGTAATTGCTCTATTTACAAAAAAAATAATATTTGATAAATTAGTTATATAATGTTAGGACTACTTCATGATCACTTGTAAGATGAAGGTGATCAATTGGTAACAAGTCTTATTGTAGAAGTAATATGCATGATTTCTTCAATGTTCTTCATTATAGTGACTGTCTGTTGTTGTCTCCTGTTGCTTAAAAAAATACTTGTCACAAACTGAATTATGACAAGGTAGATTAGCAAGGAAGAATAGGGCTTTCACAT